CTAGCTGCAAGGACCCGCTTCGCTGGGCAAAAAGTAACGATAGTGAAAATTAAGATAATTACATTATAGCCAATCTTACCCGTTTTCACAAAATGCAAGAATTAGGTCCCCCGTTTCCAGACTAATTAGAGAATTTTTACGTCCAGTCAAACGAACTATTTTCAATTTAATCAATTTTCTGGAACGTTTACAATCGTTCTATAATCGAACCAATTTGAATTCGAATATTGTTCAAATTAAATTCGAACAAATTCGAATATTGTTCGAAATCCGAATATTGTTCGAATTTAATTCGAATAAATTCGAACATAACATTCGAAACAGAAAACCACTTTCAACCACTTTCAGACCCATATCTCCCGCACCCTTATAGCTATCGAGACGCAACCACCATAGTGCACGAATGGAGACTTGGGGCTACTACCACATACAAACACCATTCATGTGCGATGTGTAGTTTTGGCTGAAAAGTGAAATATAGGGACACACACGTCCATTTATATATATATATATATATATATATAGATTTTATCATTCAACCATTTTTGTAATAATATGTTGGGGTAATCATTCATCAGGTTCATGTATATTACGTGTTGTATTTCTATCATTTGGTTGTTTATTCCTGTTGTAGTATTTACTACTTTTTTCTATGCATACCAAATGTATTTTTATTTATATACATCGTTTTTTTCTGACATAAAATGTATAACTTTATAAACATTACATGATTTCAAAACTGCCTTTTTCTAGTAATCAACGTGTCCAAAAAAGGTAATGAATCTATTTTCTGAAATTCACTATCAAATTTAATCTCATTATCTATGCTATATACTATATCCAATACCTCATCAACTTGTATTTCATCCTGATCTATTACTAAAATCAATCATTTACATACTTGATGTACACTTTTACCCCCTTTATACTCTAAGTTCTTCTGTCAATATGAAACATTCTAATTTCCGTTAATTTTGGTCTAATGCACCATATAAATATTGTAATTAAATCAAAATTTAGCCTACATATTTATATTTATCTTACTTAAATTCGTCTAATATTTTTTTCCAAAATAAACCCGAAAAAATATACGTATCTTATTTCATAATATATTATAAATATCCGCCTTTCTTTATCGTATATTGTTACTTGGAAAGTTTATTTATTTGTATAAATATTGTTTACTGTTATTAATATTACGCTGAAAATATAACGTTTAATTTTACGATCGCCCTAGGTAAAGTACTGTACTGTACGTGCCTACTTGCCTATGTATAGAAACCTCTGTATTTTCAAGGAAATTCGCAAAAATTCAAAGATTTTTATACCTGAAAGAAAGTGAACAGAAATATCGTTTAATTACAGAGTTATTTTCTTTGTTTTTATAGGTTGGATGTTTAACAACAAATTGAAGTCGTCTGAAACTCTCCGTTGATACGATAGTTTTCTTATGTATAGCAAGCATCAAAACTAAAATATTTAATACTTCCATTGTTCAGTAAAACAATAGGTATGTTTTTATATGTTTTACATTCTGTATGCTTTAAATTTGTGACTTATAGATAAAATATTATGACTGAATTACAGAACAAGAAGGAATCTAACAATGTTTCCATGGAGTCTGTTTGGTACTGCAGTGTTGTTAACTTTAACTGTTATTTCCTTTCTGATATTTTCACAAGTGAAAAAGAGGAAAAACAGCAAGAAATTAGGTGTAAACGTTGCATCTTCAATCGATAATGAAAAACGTGTTTCGAATTGTACAACTTCTTCAAAGTGTAGAGGTGAGTGAGTATTTCAAAGTTTCTAATTTTCTTGGCACGCCTTTTATGTAATGTAAATATAAATGTTTTTCAAGTCTGCACCTCTTTCTTGTATTCACCATCACATAGACTACCCCTGTGTTTTCTATGTTTTATGCCTTTTGTATAGTTATGCAAAATGTAGAAATGCCTTATAAAGAGGATTATAGTAACTACCACATATCTCACAGTTCTACTATTTTTATTTAAGATCCTCAAATTGGCAGTAATCTGGCCGAGGAAGTGTCGGATTACTGCCAATTTGCAGGCGAAAATTTACGTTACTCGCCATTACAAGATTCGATGAGCAAGTGATTTGATTTTGGTCAAAAGTCTTTAATCAAAAGAAATGGTGAAAGGAGAAAGATGACAAAATCTTGGAAAGATAAGAAAAAACGACTTGTAAAAGAAAAGGTGGCTCAAGGCTAGGACTGCACAAACTAAAGACTATGTGATTTCTGAACGTGACGGCCCCTTAGCTTGTACAGTACCGCTGGCACTCTATAAATATGTTATTGAGTTTTTGCTACGTTTTCAAGTTTTGTGAAATGATTGCTACTTTAGTTTGCCTAATTTCTCCCACAAAGAACTCTTTAAACTCCTTAAGCAACAGCCTTAATTGTTCTCTTTATCCCAATGGGAGATTGTTGGTTTTTAAAGCTACGAGTCATTCGAAATCTCTGTTGGCTCCTCGCTCGATTTCTATCGGGGCTTATTGTATATTTCCGAACTCTTTGTCCGCTTCTGATTAGAGGAATGCCCTCAACTTATTCTGAAGCAAATGACGCGAACTATCTTATGGGAGTTCTACCAAAGAGGAATTCTCGGAATTTCTGGGCTATAATGGTTCGGTTCCGGGCCCGGTCCATCTCGCATATAATTTATTGCTTGAATCTGATGTTAGGACAAGTTTATCTTTCTCTTAAAATGTTTAAGAATAGGTATTTATCGAGTAATGGTCTGGCCGAAAAGTACAATGGCTCACACAAAAGTATGTTGATCATGCGATTAGGATGCACGGAAGGAATTGAAATAGAATTCTACAGTTTTGGTTGTGGGCAAGTCGTGAGGTGACCAATTGAACAACAGGGGGTGTCTCTCTTTCAGTTGATGTGTGGAAGAGTATCGAACGCGCCCTTGGCATTGTTGAAAACATGTTGGGTAAGACACTGCGATACCGAAAGGTGTCAGTCCTACACCTCTGGAACAGTTACGGGAAAAATAGCAATTTGCTTCAAAATTTGCAGCAAGGCAGATAATGCACAAAAATATAATCTAAGATTCCTAAGTGAAAAAGCGAGGTATTTCCTCTAAGTGCTTCAAAAATTTTGTAGTCAACTGAAAAATTTTTGCCGTTTGTCCATTGCAATTACCTGTGGCTCATAAAAATTTTGTTGGTATGCCTCACAGGTTGCCTTTGATTTTGCGATTTTAACGAAACCGCCTTTGGACATCTGCTTTGTTGATCTATGACACATAATACATAGTAGCTTCCGCAAACAGAACAGGATTCGATTGGACCTATCAGATCTGCAAGGACCACCTGAAATGTAACAGGTCGTCATGCTATGTGGTTGTATTGAGGCTCTGTCTGCAGTTCCTACGTTCTTTTTCAGCAGTCATTCTTCGCATGCACTACTATACCTCTTAATTCTTCCCTAGGTTTTAGCAGCAGCTAAATGGACTGCGATGGAATGGTTATAAACTAATCATACTATTTTCATCCTAAGATATTCAGGTAAAACGAACTGCTTTATCCTTTCACTTGCCACTGTGCTCCAATGATACAATAGTCTATCTTCCACGAAATAGTTATTCTGCTTTTTTTACCCTCCTCCTAACATTTTTTAGCTTAGCACTTTCTCTTTGTTCTCTCCCAAATAGTCTTTCCAGAAAGCCTAACTTTCCGCTACCTTCGTTTATTTTTTCCTTGTCTCCGTTCATCTTTTCCCCACTGACTATCCCTTGTGTCTCATCTTCTGACAATTTTTTAGCTGAGGGAAAGATATCCAACTCAGTTTTCCTGATATTTTCGATTTCGTTAGCCCGTCTTGGGTCTCAACAGCTTTCATCTCCAGGCGATCGTTATTACAGCTTTTCCACACAAAGTATCATCTATTTGTTCGATTGACACCTGATACACCCTGGCTTGGTTAACCATCGCTTCATATGCTGCAGGAGTAATGAAGGCTGAACAGTTCAGCTTCCATGTGACTTTCGCCTCTATTTCTATTTCTGGCCTGATCCTCTTCTCTTCCCGTAGGGCTATAGGAAGAGTAACTAGCTCTGCCCTGTGCATTTTTAGCCTTGCCTGAACCAAAAGTATTTTACATCCTGCCCTTAGAGCTTATGAAATAACTACTGAGTGGAATACACTAATCACAGCCCCGGAATCCTCCGCATCAATCATTTTCCTTTCTTCCGATTCTTAATACTACGTCTGGCAACATTTGTTTCCCTGCAGATTCAGGGTTGATAGCGTTTGCCGATGTCTTGTTCACTTTTCTTTCGTCACTTTCTTTTAATTTCAAAAATTCAAACCTATAATAACCTGTCTTGTCACATTCAAAACCCCTATCTCTTCTTTCTTTGGCTGTCGATTTTTCTTTTATTCTGGTTCTTTGGCCTACTGTCTCTTTGTCTGTGATACTCATATGCAGGATTTCCCCAGCTACCCTTACTTCCTCCATTATTCCTACCCTGTCCTACAAGTCTTAGAGTTGCCTCCTTATATAATCTACTTATTTGGTCAGTTCTGTAGAATTCAGCCATTTTCTATCTTCCTTTCATCAGTATAAAACATTCTATATCCTCTCTTCTACCTGATCCGCCACAAACAGATCGTTGAAGTCCCGTAAGGTCTGCATTATTAAGATAATAATCGAGGCAAGTCGTCAGTTTTGTTATCCACTGAACTTAATTTTCTCCCTTGCGTTTTGAATAATTGTCAAAATTTTATTTGTGCTGAAGAAGAGTCCGTTCTCTGTCAGAAAACACTCCATAATTCCGTTATATTCGGTTAATCTCCAGCAATAAAATCTGATAGTTTAGGCAAAATAATCTTGCCTAAACTATAGGGAAAACTATAAATTTCAAAAATAGCCTTTGCTTGATGAAAAAAAAAATCACTTAATTTTTCGTTTTCTCCAATGTTATAGGAATTTGTTCCTTAATAAAATTTAAATATTTCATAAGATCATCATTCACACTTCCCTGTTTTGTGATTGACTAAAGCTCTCCCCATAACTGTGATTAGTCTCAAGCTCATTTAGTCGTTATTTCTTCCTTTCGAACATTAGCTTTTTTCTTTTCTCATTCTATTTCTATTTTTTTTTGTTTAATACGGCGTCAATTCTTTTTCGTGATTGCTCCTCCGGAGATCCTTTCATTCTGTTTTGTTTCTTTTACACGTTTCATTAACATGTGTAACTCACTCTATTGAATGAAAAACAGAAATAAGGGAAAATCAATTTGCTTTAATTTCTGTTTGCCATTAATAAAATCAAATAAAACTAACCCAAATCTGTAGTATAAACAAAATAAGTTTATACAGTAGAGCGTCGTTTATCCGAAAGTCGGTTATCCGAAACGTCAGTTATCCGAAAGAATTCCAGTCGGCCTAAAGTATAATTTTTATTTGTTTTTATATTTTTCAACGAATTTATTTCGTTTGTAAAACATAAAGAAATCATTTTTAACGATACAATAGCCACGATTATTATTTTAAAAAGTTTACGTTAGGCTTAACATCGACGAAAATTCAACGCAAAGCGACACGCAACGGAGAAAATTTTCAACACGGGATAGGTTAATATATTTTTTCGTATATAATCGGTTATCCGAACATCCCCAGTCCTCAATTGATTCGGATAAACGACGCTCTACTGTATTTTATTTGTTCTTGTAACAGATTTGAAGCAAACAGAAATTCAAAGAAATGAAGAGGAAGGGAAAATGAAATTGCCATCTGTATCCTATTTTCCATATGTTAAATTTACATAATGGAATAGTCGTGTTGCATCCCAAACAAAATATAGTTAAATTGAATGTATTTCAAAGTAATATTCTTTTGCTTATACACCCAGATTCGGCTCAGGTAAAAATACACGCACGTTTATTTAATATATTCGTAATAAATAAGGTTATATAATTTTATATATAGGAAGTATTAAAAAGCAGTGTCTTAATTAATAAAGATTCTACTTACAATTTCTGCAAGCCATTACTTGGAGAAAATAGTTTTTTTTCTACAGGTAACATAGAGTATTACATTATATTTAATTTACACGTGATAGCGTATAATATTATTTATTTAATTAATTAAAAAAGTACCGGCAACAATTGGAGAAAAAGAAGAAAATATTTGGCTCCTAGTTTACATCTTTGGAGCATAAAATGTTATCAAAATATATATAATGAGCGTTCGAATATTCTAGTAGATAAACTGAAAAAATTACAGGAAAATGAAATATTTGATATCCTGAAATGGACTGACGATAAACAAGAATATATCTCCGCTTTAAACAGGTAGGGAACATTATAATCATTTATTGAGACAGAAGAAATAAAGAACAATTTTGAAGAATTACAATAAATTCGACTGTCCCTAAAATATAACGGCATATAGAAGAATTAACTGAAACAATTAAAGACACATCAATAAATTATATTTAAAGATGACCTAATATTCATTAACACCACCATTAGCTAAAATAACTTTGTGAATGCGGTCTGGCATTGACTGTATGAGTTTTTACAGGACAGAAAATTATGGCTTGTTTTAGTTCCTCCACGCTATTTTATTGTATATATATATATAGCTTCAGTCAGAATTTCCCAAAGATTTTTTATCGGATTAAGATCAGGAGATAGAGCTGGTCAATAAATAATACGCACACCATTAGCTAAAAACCAGTTTGTCGTGTGAATGGGAGCATTGTTCTGTTGAATTCACATTAATACGTTCTGAAGAAGGCAACAGATTGCTTGCTAACATGTCTTGATAACTATTTCTTCTTGTATTCCGTGTAAAAAAGCATGTGGAATCTATCCTTGCCAGTGAAATACACTACACGTCGCAGCTGATCCACCACTTTCTTGTTGTTTGGAATATGGTTCTTCCTCAGTGGATTTCAGTGGAAACCGATTTCATATTTAGCAATTACTCTTGAAGAGTAAATTTCATTTCTGTAAACAAGAATTTTATCTTTCTCTAAGTCTGTAAGAGATTTGCCTCGGCCTATTGTAAAACAGCTATTTTTTAAAGATGTTAAAAAACTAACAATAAATACAATATGGAAAACTTTTCCGTGTGAATGATTTTATATGGAAATCTATTATTATTGCCTTATGCAACAGAAAAAAATTATGGCGATCGATCAAAAAACCATTCAAGATTTTACATTTTTTAATTCAGATAACTTTGAAACGTAGGGGTTTCCTGTATGTATAAATGTTAATGTTTGTGTGGGGGCACGATTTTTATCACTCCCTTTGAAGCTTAGCAGCTCCTGTGTCTTTGGTCAAAATTTTCGTAAATTTTGCAGAAAGGTTTCTGTATTAGGAGCATTGGTGCTATTAAATTTTGGTGGTTAAAAGACAAGGAGTGAGATACAGAGGGTCATGTAGGTAACTCTTCAATTAGAGTATACTTTTTATTACACAACTAAAGAAGGGCTTAGTGGCACGAAATACGTTTTGGAAGAAAAATAGATTAATAAATGCATGAAAATTTCTGGTAATTAATTTAGATTTACTTACACTTCCTTTGGTTATTTCCTCTATTCGCCATGACAACTCTAAACAGAAATTTCAACAGAGACATAGGAACCGTTCACCAGTTCGTCGCAAAGGTAAACCCGAGTTATACTTTGATACATATAAGAAATTTATGTTATAATCGATGTTACAGGCATCTAAAAAAAGAAAAGAAATGTTAAATAAAACCACAAAACATCAGCAAATCTTCAGCAAAGATGAGGATAATGAAGAGGAACAGAAGATGAAACCTCATATAATAGATATACTGTTAGATCTTCATATCAAAGAAGGATTACTTACCAAAACAGATGTCATAAGATACTTAGGAGGTGTTATTTTTGGGGTAGGAATGATTAATTAATGTGTATAATATTCTTAATTCGATAGAAAACGTAATTTACTGCCTCGGATTTCATTAGTTCTGTATACGTAGCTATGCAACGCTTGACAACACATTGCAATGAAGCCCGTTCAGAAAGGATTTTTACAGAATTTTCTGGAATTTCTTGTAGTTTTTCTTACGTCACATGTCCTATATATAAAAGGCAAGACACTTTAGTTGTTCATATTAATGCCTGCGAAAAATGGCCAGAGGTAAGGCTATACCGGAATCAATCAGGAAAACTATTATCCAGCAGTATAAAGGAGTCTCTCAATGTAGTATCGCGCGACGTCTTCCTCTTGTACAGTACATCGTACTTTTCCTGTTAACAAGACTCGTGCCATTCATACATCCTACTCCATTCTGGAAAACATTTTTGAATTGAAATCACGTGAATTCCGGTAGAGAACAAAAGCATTTTTATCATAAATCCGGGCCTACTCTCTGTAGGAGTTCCATGCCTGTTTTCGCTTTTCATCTATCTAAAACCGTTCTCGAGATAAAGGAAGGACAGACAGACAGACATATTCCAGTGCGAATATATAGTCCAATAAAAATAAAATTCTCGATCATGAAAAGAGAAAATTGCGACAAGTTCTCTAAGATGTGATCTTGTGTATTTTGTTGTCATTACAATTACAGCATAATACATCATCGAGCACTATACTGTAATTGGTTTAAAATACGGTCTTTACATTATTTTTACAAGAGAAACTCTTAACAATTACCGCCCTAAACGCTTGTGGTAAGGTTAAGGGAGAACTTTTTGCGCAAACTGTTTAATAACTGTAATTTCTGAGAATAGAAATCTTTACGATAAATTACAATATAAAATATTATATTAATATTATGCAAAACTTGTAATGTATTTTAATATCAGGGTCACGACACAACTGCCCACGCAATGTCCTGGACTCTATATTTCCTAGGAAGATTTCAAGAGATACAAGACAAAGTGTATTTGGAATTGAAGGAAATTTTCAAAAATGATATGAATAGAGATATTACAATTAATGACCTGACCAAAATGACCTACTTAGAATGCGTAATAAAGGTAAATTTTTAATTTCTTTAATTAAACACATACAAAGATTAGTTACATACACAGTACAGTCGACCCTCCTAAAACACTGTTGATAATTCCGTTTTATATGAATTCCATGTTGTACGAGTCACTTAGATTTTACAGATACTTGAGACGTTCACAGCCTGGCACACGTATTTGTAAAATCTAAGTGACTCGTACTACATGGAATTCATATAAAACGGAATAATCAACAGTGTTATAGAGGGTCGACTGTATTTGACTTTCCAGGAATCGATGAGAATTTATCCTTCCGCTCCTTTCGTTGGAAGAATAAATCCTTCCGAAATGAAAATAGGTCAAACTTTTATGATTTTATAATTTCTTTTTAAAAATTCTTTATACTGTATTTATTATTTACTTCAGGCATTGTGTCATTGAAATAGATAATAACTCGTTGCCTGCGAATTCGATTTACATCGTATGTATCAATTCGATTCATCATAATCCTTCTGTTTACGAAAATCCAGAAGTGTTCGATCCTGATCGTTTCCTGCCTGAAAACTTCAGAAAACTTCATCCTTATGTTTTTCTGCCATTTTCTGCGGGTCCATGAAATTGTCTTGGTGAGTGATCAACTTAATTATTGAAGGGAAAAGAAACGGGACAGTTTCACTAAAATGATGCATTCGCAGGATTAAAATTCGCCATGGTTGAAATGAAAACAGTTTTGACAAATGTCCTGCGAAATTTTAAGTCTATTTCCTGGATCCTCGGGATAAAATCTTTACCTCTTTCGGTGCAATTATGACACCAATATCAGGTATAAGAATGTGTGTAGAAAAAAGACAAACATAACAATAGATAACAACGCTGGAGTAATTTATATGGTAAATCTTTATAAGCGTATATGAAATAATCTATATAAGTACACCTGATTATTTTCATTAAACAAAAAATATACGTCATAGTGTTATTTGGAATGTTTTATAGGCTTTAATTTTATTAATTATTTAGGGGCGAATATAAGATCAAAGTTTGACAGTGATATAAATACAGTAGAGCGTCGATTATCCGAAAGTCAATCATCCGAAAGAATTCCAGTCAGCAAATTTAAATTTTTGCCAGTGCTGTGGCGCTGCAATTTTTGGCTATGTCTTGGGCTACTCAAATGTTTTACGTTTTTGATACTAAATTAACTTCTGAAGTATAATTTTTTATTGATTTTATATTTTTCAATATATTTATTTTGTTTGTAAAAAATAAAAAAAAATAATTTTTAATGATACAATAGGCTTCGTTAGGCTTAACATCGACGAAAATTCAACGCGAAGCGACACGCAACGGAGAAAAATGTCAAGATGGGATAAATTAATATATTTTTTCGTACATAATCGGTTATCCGAAACATTGATCTTCCGAACAACCCCAGTCCCCAATTGATTTGGATAATCGACGCTCTACTGTATTATACATTTTAAGAAAATAATAACAATACCTGTTTTCTGGTTGTGGTGTGTATTATCTTATTAAGGGAATAAAATTTAAATGATGGAATCTTTCTTCACTTTACTGTGATACCAGGAAAAATTCTCCTGACATCGTCACAATGCCATGCTGCAATTTTTTTTAATTTAAAATATATGCTCTCGATCCCAAATTAGTGTTTTCCCCTATACATCATACTTTTCCCGGTAAGCCATCGCCTAGTTTGCCTATATGAACGTCCTGCCTATATAACATATATAGTAAAATAATACAGAATAAGTTGGTAATATAAAGAGAGTCTGGTTTTAGGAAAGGAAGTCGTGTATAGGTAATATAATTACACTAAAAAAAAAAATAATTGTTTACCAAAGAGACGTTAATTTGAAAATTATTTGGCCTTTGTAAATAAGTATTATAAATATAATAACCAAAATCTGTTTGTGGGTTGTTTAGTTTGTTTCTTTCTCCACAGATGGCGCCACCTCATAACACATGACATTAGTATTTGTAATTCTTTTCATTGTTATGTTGTTATTATTAATATTAGTTTTTATACTGTTATATTATTTACTAATGTTATTATTTATTATAATGTCCTAAGTCCAATTATTGCTCGGATGGCGCTAATTCTTTCCATACTGCATTACTATTTTTTTTTATTTAACAGCTTAGTATATCGAAAATATCAAAGAGAATGCAAAGCAAGGACACCTTTTTCAAGGCTATAGAATTTTTGGTACGGTTCGTATCGCGGACGAAAATGGCGGAAGCTCCTATACCAGATTCAATAGATATACTGGTCCTCACAAGTAGAGTTAATGTGTCAGTTTGCCGATAGCTGGCGCTAGAGTCGCTCTACGGCGAGAAGTTTATCTATTTCCCGTTTTTCAAGCATTTATGTAACTTTTTCTACTGCTCTGTCAAAAACATGAAAATTTGTTACTTCCCGTGCTATGTTAAAATGAAAGATTGGTCCTTGTTTATAGTCATAGACAAAGTTATGGCTGAAGGATCGAATTGTGACTCGATGTATAAAACTGTTTTGATACGTCCAAAATTGTTCTTTTTATATAATTATTAACTATTTGAATTAGAAATTAAAATTATAAGCGTAGTGTGATGCAGAAAAACATGTATTTTCTTATGAAATTTAGATACAACTAATTTTTTTTAAAGTGTAACGCTTGTAATTCCATAGTTTTATTTATCGAAATTTCGAAGGGAACAAATAAGTATTATAAACAGAAACGGCTCATTCTCTTCTTAAAGACACTATTTGTCTTGGTGTTTTCCCTTATTTGCACCCTTCTTAATGCCCATAGAGCAACAAATTTTATAAATAAAAAAGTGGCGCATCTTATAATCGGAAGAATTAATTGTAATTTTAAAAAAAATTAGTGTGAAGTTTTATTAATTATTATATTTACAAAACGTGCAGCTAGCCGATGCGAAGATTTCGCAACTCACCTTTTCGATAGCCTTCAAACTCCACGGAGATAACGTAATCGCAACTCGTTTACGAAATAAATGTCCAGTAAATGGGAACAATAATGTAACAATACATAACGTAGACAATAAAACTAAATAACGAATTGTTCGGAAAAAATATTTAGATGTTGGCTGAACAGATTTAGTTCAGCCAGAGCCCAGTTGTTTCGCAGTTTAGTTGTGTATTGTTGAACACGTTTCTAACTACGTAACTTCTCCCACTGTCAGAGTTGCAACTAATTCAGTCCGTTTATTTCGTTTATGATAATTTCTACTAGTGGCATCTCGTTTTTATCTCATCCTACGATTTGCAAGATGGCTGCTCTTACTAAATACAATTATTATATTGATAATTCTAATGATTACGCATTTTTACACAAGATCAGCTAACTCAGCACACCGTTTAAGGATACTCAGAACAATCTTAGCCAATTAGATTTCTTAGTTAGCATTCTGCATTATTGAACAAAGCCTAGCTCAAGCGATCCCCTACCTTGGACTGGTATTAGGCACCAGGAAGGACTTCAAGCAAAGCGGAAAATATAAACCATCTTTGGAATTTTTTTATGACTGCATTGACTGTTGCAATAGGTAAATCAGCTGAAGGAACACGAACGTAATTCTTTATATTTGTTGTTCTCTTCTTACTTCTGGGACTCTCCAATTGCATATTGTTAATGCACAATTTGTTTTGTAGTGGTTTATTGTATTTCTGTAAATTAAAATATACAGTATAAAACATTACGCAATTTGAATTTAAGCAAATTTGGAGACTCAAATAACTGCATTAATGATAAGAAATCAGAGTTTTTTCTCACATTTTCTATTCTTAGAGGACTTCAACAATGGTTTGCCTTTTGTGGAAAACCATTATAGAAATCCTCTAAGGACTGCTTGCTGAATTATACTATATTACACTAAATGGTTTTTGAGATATTTGCATTTGACACGCGTACCCAATGAATAATCATTTAAAACATTAAGCATTAAATAAATATTAATTAATAAAACTCAGTAAATGTTTGTTTAAAATGAGAAGTCTTTATTTTAAATTACAATATCTTTCCGAAAAGAAAACAGCTTCGATAGAAAATGGTTTCGTAAGAAAAATATCCATTGCATCGAAACATTTAACTTTAAAAACAGTTTATTCCCTGCATTTGTAATAAAGAAATAAAAAAATGCCCGTGAAAACAATTACTTGATATATTTTCACAAAATATTCATTGTTAAATGAATATCAAGTGTAAGTCCATAATCTAGGCTTCAATTTTGGATGGGATTTCCACACAGACCACCGAATTACTATTCTCGTCCACCAGTGTGTATTTTACAGTTACAGGTATCTAAAATTAAAAAATATCAATGGTAAATTTTATTATATACATACATTTACTTAAAACTATAACTTACAATTGTCATATTTTTTTATGTAATATTATTATTATTATTATTCAAATAAAAAAACAATATGTGAATATGAATGTTATAAAACAGCAAATTACTAAGTTGAAAAAGCTTACTTGATGAAGCATTTTCAATCAGAACTTGATCACCCTCAGAATATTGAAATGAATAAAAACATATTGCAAAACTGTCTAATGGTATATGAACTTTTCAATCAAGAAAACAAATGTATACCTGATTTTTGTTTATTTTATAAAAATAAAATTCATTCATTCCGAAAGGAATAAACTGTTTTCTACATATAATGAAGCGAATAAATCTGATTTTATTCAAAACATTTGGATGATGTACTCGTGTATTTTTATATGTTGAACACTTTGTCTTAATAATATAATTTCAATATGTAACCTTCAGCTATTCCATACTCTATATTATTGAACATAGCACATACCCTGCTAATTACACAGTTGTGTTTTGCACATTAGATTAGTTTGCTGACTACAGCTGCTATTTTGTCAATCATGGGCATCTGAAGGAAAATGAAACCCTTCCTGGGATTGAGTTTTAAATTATATTAAGTAAAATTAGTAAATAAAAACTGATTTCACACATATAGGCCATTAATTAAATTAATACTACTATATATTTATTATTTTAATATGGAGAAAACTACAATAAATTTATAGCTAATAGTTACTTTCCATCTTTATCTACTGTTCATAAATTGTTTCACAAAATTTTCTAGAAAATATTTTAAAAAATAATAATTACAGCAAAAATTTTTGTCTACAACATATAATAAATAACAAAGCTGTGCAAAATTTACCAAAACTGTTGATAAAAAGTACTATTGTATTATTATTTTTACACTAAAAAGTATAAATCATGAAAAGTTCTATATAACTAATGCTAACTATTTTCAGCAGCTTGTGTCGGTTGCCCACGTGCATAGCTGTCAATTGCTCGCGTTCCCTGTCTCCCTAGAGGCAGTACCATGTGCGGGCTTATTTTCTGTATATATTTTGACCATACTGTTATCTGTGGACTATGTCCCATGTGTTGTAACTAAAGTATACTCAATAAATGGAACGCGATGTCGCCATGGTTCCCACTTCACACTTTCCTATCATTCCTTACTTTTCTTCCCTCTTCTCATTTCCTCTAAAACTCTTCATCCTTCCTTTTCAAAGGCTATGCCGTAAGGTTCGGCCTTCTAACACTTTTAAACATATCATATCATAT